ACAATGTGCTTGTTCAATGTGCATATGGCTGAGACGGCTTTAGTATGTAAATATCTTTGGCTTTATTTGTGAAAGTTAATTTAAAGAGGTTGTGATTCTACTCAGGCCAAATGTTCACAATGTCATCACTCTGCCATTCTTTGTTATTTAACAGTGTATTTATATTTAATATAGTCATGGCATTGTTATATCTAGCCCTGTAACAATACAATTCTTTACACTTTTCTTATCCAGTGTAGAAATACATCAGTAGCACTTCAACACACATACACACACACGCGCGCAAACACACAAGACAAAACTACCTGGAGTGGATATCTAGTTGACTTTAGGATGGACAAGTTGTGACATGAGCTACCAGCCATCAGAGAGGAATTAAATTCTTTCATAAACAATAAAATGTCTCACTTTTCACTACGCTTCTTGTTTTAATAAATAGCAAAACTTTCATAAAATCATTTCCCACACGAATACACTTGCAAATGTCACTGTTTAAAATATTAGCACAGCAATTTTATTTATAAAGGATGACAGCATCGCCTAAAATAAGCCACTATGTTGGATCTGATTTAGTTGCAATCCAAGCTGTCATAGCAATGAATAAGATCAGGGAGACTTCCAAATTAAAGGAAGTGAACAGAAATTAGCTCTGACCACACACGGGGACTGCATTTACAAATTTACAGTAGGTCAGATGTGAGACAAGAATTGTCATTTATGTCCCCCTGTTTAGCCGGAGTTTTTCAGAGAACTTAATAAAGCAACATAAACTGCCATAACTAAACATCTTCTAATTTGGAGACAAGTCAACAAACTAGTATTGACCAGTCATCTTAAATTATGCCTCCACTAGACTCTTCTTTTAGAAGAACTGTAAGTCAGAGCAGACCGAAGCTTTGCGCTCTAAAGGTCCGGGGCAGATGAGGACTAGCCGTACTAGAGCCTGACACAGAGGACTGTAGGTTACAGGAATTGGTTATGAAAACCTCCCGGCCCCAACCCCGCTGGCAGGATTTTTGATGTGAGATATTTGACACTTTTAACTTGCCGTTTTCCATTACATTAGTTATTCCAAACGCTGATGCTCGTGTCCCACAGCTACCACTACTCAGCAACAGCAAGCTGGAGTTGGAGCACCACTGAGCTCAATTCTGGCATTCTGTAAAAATCTCTCTCCCCTAACAAGAGGCCAAAAACTGAAAATACACGCTACAGCATCGCATTAATAAAATTACACTGGGACTATCATAAATATTAACGAGCTCTTTATCAGTGACATCCTGTTCAGAGAAGTGTAGCACCAAGCTACACGAACACAAAGGATATTTTTAATCCGTTTGTGCAACCAAGCAGATTGCGGCCAACAGCTGTTGGTTCAATTGTGTAATTGAAATCGAAAACTTTATTATTTTTAGCGTTTAAAATCAGATGCAAATCAAATAGGTTTTATTTTCTTCCATGTGTACAGTACCTATGATCCTGTATTAGATATTAGATCACTTGTCGAGCAGTGTTTAGCAACACCAAAGACACCGGTGGCAAAGTTTTGCTACTGATATACTGCTTTTGCTAGACAAGGTGAAGGTGAAAGGACAGGAACTATTTTAAACTGCATGAATGGCTTTATTCCTAGAGTTAACCCATATGTTTCTATGGGCTCTTTGTCCCTACACGATTTGCTAGAGATCAAGGATGTGAGCTTAGACAGGAGGCAGCAATGTCTGCCAAACCTAATAGTAGGTCAGAGATCAGACTGTTGCGCATATACACAGTTCAGCACAAATGTGTCACTGTAGAGCCAACACATGGCTCTTTCTCCAGACCGTTTATTGCCAGTGATAGGCATCACACCCAAAAATAATGGAAATTGAGCACAGTCACAAACATGTCAAGAAGCCATTCAAATAAAGTTTAGGAAACAAAACCTTTTGGTAAGAAAAACAAACAAACAACAACAACATGGTAATTTCAGCCCTCTGTTCTAAGTTGGGACTTTAATTTACGGCAACACTCAAATTCATCAGGTTCTGTGTTTAGACACCAGAGAGTTCAATATGCGAACATCAAGAGAAACCAAACACAAATTTATTCCTTAAGCACACCCAACACTTAGCTGGGAGTGATGCTCTGGAACAAGCACTGCGACTTACAGTCTCCTGCTCATTCATTCCCGTTTTCTCCACCCTGGAGGAATCGGGAGAATTTACGATTAAGGGAAATGTGCAGGAGCAAGAAAGTGGCAATTTCTCTTTCTCTTGAGCGCCAGGTTGGCTCGATCCAGTCCTGAGGCAGCCAGTTAGTTGGTCACACATCCACAAGCATCATAGACAAGTTTATACTGTAAGGAAAGACCATGCAACTCCCACATATATATGCCCTAGAAAACCCCACCCTGAGACAGAGCAACAAATGACGAATGACAAAAGCTTACCGAAAAGTAAGTTTCCTTTTGATTAACATATACACAATGACGACACAGTTTAGATGTGCATTTGTCTTATTGTTTTACAGACATCCATGATGGAGCAGTGTGGGAAAATGGGTCACCTAAACTTTCTTTAATGGCAAACAGACTCTTGCGCGCTGCGTATTTCCTTGTGTCTGTTTGTTTGTGCATACTTGAGTGTCCAAGTCTGAATCACACAGAGGTAGCTATGATACAAGGCTGATTGAAAGGGGGGGGGGGGGGGACAACAGAAACTAGAAAATGTGCTAAAGGATGAGAAGAGAGGGTGAGAGAAAAAAAGAGTTAAAGGGGGGGGGGACTGTGGTAGGTTTTAAAAAAGTTATTTAGCCAACCTGAAGTCAAAACAAGAACAAACAGTTCAGCTATAAAACCACACACATGGCATGAACGTTTTCCTTGCAACTCGTAAGGGATTCCTGTGTGATGTCATACCGTGGAGCCAGAGGGAAAAAGGAATATGAATATTCAAGGGAAGGAAAAAAAACAAAACCTTTTTAACGTGTCCTAGTGATTCATGTGTTTGTTCCTGCTAAAGGGAACTTTGATTTTTCATAAGAGAGCAGAAAATTTATGCTCAACATTCACCATTAAGCCAAAGGGGGGGGGGGGGGGGAATCAATGATGTGTTACAAAGATGCGAAAGCTTCTGAGGAAACAGACAGCTTACTGCTTACTGACTGACAAATGATTGTCGTAGTGACGTAAAGACAAACGCAGGCAGGAAGTTTGGCTTTTCAAACCCAGACGCTTGTCATTAAAGTAACCTTTAGCCCATAAAGATAAGAAGCTGAGTGCAAGGCATCTTAATGGATACTAAAAGTAAACTAGGGATTATTTATTTTTGTCTATTTTAGTGTTTTCCATTGAAATTTTAATAGACGATGATAAAAATCCCAAATATGTGAGTCATTAGAACCATTACGGCTACTTCTGCAGAGAAGGGCTAAATTATTGAGCAAGTTCAAAGTTATTTAGAAATGCATCTTCAAACCTTTTGGTTATATGATACACACTGTGTCAAACAGAGTCAATTTTAAAAAAAATACTATTGCTAAATAAAAAGTCTTCTAGTCATCTAGTCTCCCATGGTGTAACAAACTATTGAGATATACAAGGTTTGATGTTACTCAAGAACATTACTCACACTCAAATGTTGGAATAAACCACCTTGCACCTGTTGTACAAGCAAATACAATAACTCTCTAGTCACCCATTTATTCCTCGCTTTATATCTACATGAATCAATTTTTAATTTACAGCATATGAGCAATTTGGATAAAACATGTGGTGTTGTGTTGAGTCAGCAAAAATGCTAAAATGGAAATCTGGACTTCCAACTGCCTTTTTTTTTTTAATCCAAAGTTTATGGTTGGAAATAAAAGTGCTTTCAAAGCAAAAATCCTACATCGCATCAGCTTCTCTAGCTTAAACCAGACCAACGTTAACTTTTATTTCATCTTTTGCCATTGTTGATTTCTAGAAATCAAAATCGGGCAAAAGTGCTAAGCCTCATCATTTCTTTAGATTTTGAAAGGAAAATTGGAAATGGGTGTAGTGATTTTTTTTTTTAAATGAGCAAACATAAGTGGAAATACAGTATAAAAAGACAAAGAGGGTTTTGTCTTCAAAAATCAGTATTTGGTATGACCAGTTCACTTCAACACAGTCTGAACTCTTTTAGCTCAGCTTTCTGGTAATTTGTTTAAGTAGTCTTCAGGGATAGTTCTCCAGGCTTCCTAAAGGACTGTTGTACCTCTTGCGCGACCCCATCGTACATACCGCAGATGATCTGAATGAAAGCTTTCAAGTTTGGATTCATCACTCCATCAGACCTGTTGCCACTGATTTTCAGTCCAGTTCATGTGTAATTTGGCATGCGTCAGGCGTTTCTCCCTGTTTCTCTTTCTTAAGAAAGACTTCTTGACAGCCACCCATCCACTGAGACCATCACTAATGAGGCTTTGGCAAACAGTAAATGGATCGACTGAAGGGCCAGATGTACTCCACAGGTCCTGTGTCAGGTCTTTGCTGGATTTGTATTTCCTCATTTCATGACTTTCAAATACTGTTCATCTGCTGTTCATCTGAGATATGCGTTTGACTAATAGCTCTTTGGATATCAGCTTTGGTGAATAAGATACTGTCAAATTGTTATCTTTAAGCACTTTTCTACAGGCAGTGTGTCACAGCAACACAAAATGTGTCCCCATCTCTTTATATGTCCATCCCTTGGGTTGGATGCCTTTTTGTGCTTACAGGGTTCATAGCTCATTGGTTTTACCGGGGGGGGGGGGAATCCATCTGAACATAGTCTGATAGCAATTTAACAAATATTTCCTCCAACTACCATTTCTTCCTCAACACAAGAGAAAAAAAGCTTTATTTCTTGGAAGTAAAATATAAAGAAATGAGGGGGGGGGTGCAAGCTTTTTTGCACAGACCTATATTAGACTAAAACTTCACCTTTCGTAAGAAGGGGGAGGGGGGTGCAGTAGTTACCCGCTATGCATGCATGTAGATTTGTGTCTGTTACCTAGGTATGGTATGCAAGAAACCATGCTCTGGCTGCTGATGTAGTCTCTCAGGCGTTTATAGTTGTCTTCTTTGGACATCAGGTAATCAAGCCGGTCAAACGTTGCCTTGTCCTTACGATTAAGTAACTACACACGAAGACAGGGATAAGGAGGGAACAAATTAGGGCTAAGATGTACAAGTGGAAAGATTTTACCATAAAAATATTTTTAAAAGAACCTCCTGTGGTTTTCCAGACCAGAGTTCAAGAAATTTCCAGCATTACATCACAACATCATTATGTTATTATGTAACTTCTACATCTTCGCTGAGAACACTGACAGACATGTTTGTAAAACAGACACTGATTTAAAATTGAATAATGAATTCAAAATGTTCACCATCCATAAAGATCGTGTCAAGCTCGTGTACAGATACTTGGCATTTCACTGAGACGCTGACATCTTTCTAAAAGTAATCAGAGTTCAAGCGAAGTGTATTTGTTAACGTCTCATTTTCCTTGTGAAATTAAAGTTTCTGAAAGTTTTAACTCTTTTATTCATTATGCCATGTCACTTGTGCTACTTTGTTTTATTATTCTCCGTTTATGTGTCCAGTGTTTTGGTGCAGGCTTTGGGGAAATTCCTGCTTATTGACAGCACTCTACTAATAAACTTGTGACATCAAAGCACAGCAAATATTACTCACCGCCCAAGTTTTGGTTAGCCTGAAGATGGGAGCACTTTGTAATGCTGACACCACTGCCATTACCGCATGGAGGTTGTTCATGTCACACAGTTTCTGTGAGTAGTAGTAGAGTACATCAAACATACATGAAGTTGAATTGGTACAGCAAACATTCGTGTGGATAAAACAAAGTCATGTCCTGGGTGGACTTGTGTACCTTGGCAGTGCGAATATACAGACTCAGCACCTCGGCTCTGATCTTCAACGTCTGTGCATGGAGGATCTCTCGTACCACCCAGAAACTTGTCTGGAAAAGAAAACAAACAAAAAAAATACTCACAAACAAGGACTACAAATGACCAAGTATTACAGAAAATCCCTTTCAAGTAAGGACAAAGGGTAGTTCTGCTTCACAAAATCTCCTGATTTTGAATCGAGAGCCAAGACTTGAAGACCTGTGTGACAACTCTTAATTAAAACGGTTATAAAGCAGAGCAGCAGAGCGCATGGCAAACTGCAGAAACGCTACATTAGAGCTGATTTCCAATTGACTAGAGTAAAAGAAAGACCTTCAGAGAAAAATCCAGCTGATGCACAAGGGATACGCACGACAACTCCTGATACTTCAGCTAAGAAAGCAGGAGGAAACAGGGAATACGTGTCTTTAGAGTAGTTGGCTAGACCGAGAATGATGTCGGAAACCTGTCTCTTTAGGGAGAGCGCTGGCAAACCAGAGCTCTGATTACACATGCACGCAGACAGACAAGTCAGTGAATCAATCAGTGTTTAAGCTCCTGGGAGAAGAAGAGAATGGAAAGAGGAAAAGGGAGAAGAGTAAAAGAAGAAGAGGGGTAATGGGAGGGGAAGTTAGCTTCAACGCCACAGGGCTCTAAGGGCTTCAAAGCCAACAGCTGTCTGCACATTGTGTTCTGATAAGAGACGAAGACTGACCATCCCTACTGTTTCGTCGAACACAAAACTCTTTATCTCTTTCAGTTTCTGAATTACTTTCTGACTTTTCCACTTGCACATTAACTGGCTTTGCCTATGTGGTCAACGTTCCTTTTTGTGTGTCTCCATCTACAAATTCAGTGTGTGTGTGCGGCAGCTTCACTGTGCTTTTAAACAGTCAGGCTGTGCATAAATCCTAACCTATAGCTGTCTCTGCAGACTTTTTCCTGGAAACAGCACTGAGACTTTGTTTTTGTTTCAGAGGTGAGGTGAGGAGCTCAGGAGTGAACAGATAAATTCATTCTCCCTCACCATGTCCTGTCTTATAAACACATATTACTATGAGGTAGCATTGACAGGAAACAGAGCCATGTGCTTTTAATTTTCACCGTTTCACATTAAGCTTTATGGGAAAGGATGATGAAAATGGACAGAAGACACGCAGCACAGATGATGGACCCCGACTCCACTGGCGTCCACTTTAATATTCATCTACTGCTTTGAGGAAATGACCTCCCATAAAGAAGCAGCTCCCACTTTCAAAATGAAAAACTGAAATCCTGTTACATTTAACTTTCGCCTCATCTATGCAGTAGAAAAGACTTTCCAGTAAATGACTAAATTTGATTCCAATCTGGGAGCAAAGCATGCTGTAGCTTCACATTTAGGTTCCTCAGCGGTCTAACTTGATATCTGAGGTCAATCTGGACGGAGCATGGCTCCAAAAATCACGATCCCTTTGGGGTTCGTTACAGAGCATGTGCCTGTGTCTGCTTTGGCCTCAAAAACTGTGCAATGATGAGATCACTCATGACAACAGCGCTCTAGATAGTTGCATTCACAAAGTGCTCAAGTGTGCCTGAGAGAGGGCTTCCCAGACAGGGCCGTGTCTGTAAGGGGTATGCCTTGAAACAACGATGATGTTTTCGGGACTGTGTTTATGACCGTATCAATGCCTCCAGATGGAGCTACAAGGCCCCAAGATCTCAATAATCATAAATAAGAGGAAGCAGACAGATCCAAACATGAGCTGATATGTGGAGTGACCAACTAATGACCTGAGGAGAGAAAAATAAAGGATCGAGACCAAGATTTGGCTAACGATGGGAACCGCAGCTGATGATGGTATGATCCAGATGTGCTGCTAACGTATGTTCCATAGTAAAGATGAGTTCGGGAGGGAAAAAAATAAATAAAAAAAATAAAAATAAAAATATCACAACAATTCTAATTTGTTTAGGTTCATGACCATTACATCTTTATTAACCATCTGATTCCTTGTTTATTCAATAGAAACGTCCCAATTTGTCTCTACAGAAAACTAAAGAACGATTAAAGTGCACTCATCATATTGTATCAAATGAGCTAGCCAATTCTTTTCTGCTTCACTGGCTCCGAAAGCAGTGTGCCAACAAAACAAAGACCGGAGGACAGAGAATATGGCTTTAGCTCAATTACGGGGCTTTCTGGGACTCTCTGTCCTCCCAGTCCAGGTTCCATTATCCAAAAAGCTCATTTTCCTTGGCTGCCGGCAGCTGTGTGTGTTCAGCTAACATCTTGAATCCCTGTTTGGGGTGTGCTATACATGGAGAAGTTTCCACAGCAACGCATTCCAGTTAGATAATCTCATATTAGTACTGGAGGGCAGTAAAGAGGGTCCCAGAGGAATTTGGCAGAAACACTGGAAGTGGATTAAAGGGCACCGCTACCCCTTGAAGCATTACCAACAACTTCCTGTTTGATGATGTCACGGGGCACTGAGGGATCAAGCCAGACGCACTCCTACAAGCACACATGCAAAACCCCATGAATGCCAGAAAGAAGGAAAAACCAAGGACAAGAAAAAATGAAGGGGGAAAAAAAGCTACTTTTCCTCAAAGCAGCATCACCTGGGGACCATTTATGATATATATAACTCTGTCAATAGCAGGGAGGTGACATAAGGGACTATAAAGAGCTGCCATGACAAACAGTTTAAAACAACCACCTCTGGGAAAGCAAAGTTGATGATTTGGTACATGGAAGAATGAAAGCAGGGGATGCGGTGGAAAGAAGAACTTTATTCCCTCCATTCCTGGATAGCCAAGACACATAAATCTATCAACTTAGAGCAGGACTGTTTCTCATCCTTTTTTCCTTCTTTCTCTGTTGAGGCTTTAGAATGATTTGAAATAAAAGGGCAGTAAGTGTAAATGGTGATCCCCGTCTCACCTGGTTGAACCTGCAGGTAAAGGCCACAACATTTGGAGCAGAGCTGTGCTTCTCCTTCTTGTTCCAGCCACAACTTGACAGCTCCTGAAATCACAGAATCGGGGAAATAAAGATTATGTAGCTAGTCACAGATCTTTTTTTGCATACGCCATCATTTTATTTGATGTATTTAACAGTCTAGTCAGGGTCACACTGTGGGGAGAGTACCAGAGGTAGGGAGCACAACGTAAGAGGAGAAAAACACAGACGAGAATGGGAAAACCGCTGAAGACAAGATCGAGGCAAAGGTTCGGCCAGATTAATGAACTGCTGCCCAAAACAACATGTTCTTCATCAGTAAAGTCTGCGCTTTCCACTGATACACGTTTTCATCTAGACGAGGAGTAATTGTTGGAATTTCCCCCGCAGAGAAAACAGCTGGCTGAATCCTCAACAAAATCAACCAGATCTTCAAAAATAATTAGTCTCCTGAACAATAAATTGGTGGATACAAATTACCTGCTGGTAAGCTTATCCGTGTTCTAAACTCACCGCTTTCGATAACAGACAAACAACACCTCAAGGAAGGTATTAGCAACAAGCATGCAAGGATTCAGTGAAGAATGAGGACAGCATGTTGTAAACAATTGCCTTTGACAACAAATGAGTGTAAAATGAATAACGTCAACTTTTCTTTAAACTGATGCAAAATGTGTGCCTCTCAATCCAGATGAATATTATCAAAGACTAAAAGGATTCTTTGTAAAGGGGTGCAAAGACAGTCAGGACCAGACAAAAAAACAAAGTAGCAAAACAGAAAAAAACTTAAGTGTTAGCTTCTAATCATTGTTTTTCTAGTCATTTTTCCTCTTTTTGTGTCATTAAAAATAAATCTGATGCTCACTTCAACCAACTGATGGCAGTTGTGCCGTGGCAAAACCAAAGCACAGAACAATGGTAACAATTTAAATTAAGACATTTTGGTGCAAAGGTGCATCTGTTGCACACTGAGGATTTAAATAAGCACAAGCAATGTATTTTGCTGAGCTTAAAAACATAAAGACACTAAAATGTAAAAGTACTGACACACATGTAAGAGGATGTAATTAGCACTGGAATGGCTTTTGTCATCGTGGATCATTTTAATGTGGGCAACTGAAATGCCTGCTCACTGATTTTCTGTCAAAACATTCTCAATTAATCACTTCAGCACAAAGAGGAGCAGCAGCTTCAGCTGCTTTGGAAAATAATTAGGGTACACGTTATCGAAAGAAAAATAAAATGTGATTTTTGGAAGGTAAACAAAGAAAATCCCCTCCTAAAAGACTAATTTCTTTCTGAATACCAGGCCAGAGTGAGTGTGGCTTTCAGCTGATGTCCTCAGCGATTAGGTAAAGCTGGAGACCACACACTGCACTGCAACAGGAACCCGGGACCTTGTATGGCCCCTGCAGGCTGTCCACAATCCAGGGACACTGACATAACAGTAGGAAAAATGTTGTGCAAGCTCTCCTGCTAATCCCTGCCAGCATGGCTGACTTAGGCTACAATATAAGCAGCTGAAAGAGACTGCTGCTCCCCCACACAATACCCCCTGTGAGGCAGTCTGACTGTCTGGAAGTAGCAATCTCCACCCAACTGCTCGCAGCTCCCTGAACTGGACCGTATCACCGTGTCTACTTCTAAAGAGAAGCTGTGCTCGTTCAACGGTGAGTCTCCAAGCTGAATCCGCCGGTGGGAGCAAAGATACAACATATCAAATACAGATGTTAAAAGCAGACACTCGTGCGTGGGCGAGGTGATGCTTGGGATCCATTTTGCCTGAGTCAGGATGAGGATACGAGTAAAGGAAAAAGGAGTGCAATGGAGCAAAGATGCAGGCACAGTAGTGAGGCTGTAAAATAAAACACTGCAGAAACCCTAACACAGCATCTTCCCACAAGGTTTTATTAGACCACGCGGGGACTCCGGTGTGTTTAACTGTGCCGTCCCCGTCACAGGATACAGCTAAAATAGTGCCCTAATTGTTTATTTTACATCAGTCCTTTTCAAATAATTGCTTCCTTGTGTCCTGACATAATGCCAATCATTTTTCTCTCCTTCACTTCCACATAACTTTGGTGATGACTCCTAAAACAAACACACAGTTAGGAAGTGGTAGCGCTAGTGTGCTCAAACCACCACTTGCCCACCCAGGTAGGCTGAACACCTGAAAAGGGGGCATACAGACAGACGTTGGTGTTTTGTCGTCACTCGGGAAGGCAACAAAATTTAAACAACTTGTACAAAACCTTCATCACTAAACCACCTGGGCCAGTCTTCTAATTTAACCACCCATCCGTGTTTGAAATCATTTAAGTCCAGTTTCCTCATGTGAGACCATTAGGCCATTAGGATTTTATTCCCTTTATTTTTCCCAGGTCCTTTATAGCCTCATTTCACACTAAGGCACCACAAACTCTGACAACAGTTGAGTGTTTGGAGAAGGGCTTTCACAAAGCAGCTCTGGTAAGGAGAGGGTTTAAAATTCTGCAGTAAAAGAGTGCAGTAAAAGAAAAAGAAACGTCTGCTACGCCAAACCACAGACAGCCTGTCGTTTCCACACGCTGGTCTGGCTGAGCAGCATTTTCATTAAAGCGCAGTCCCGTGGGGCTGATAGGAGCCAGATACATTTACATTGTTGGGTCTGTACACTTAAACTAAGAGCTGTTAAAGAAATCTGAAGTCACCTCTGGCTGAACGATTGATTATACGACCTACAAGTGACAAACAATAGCCGAGGTGGTTTAAAGGGTATCATCAACCAAAGACATTAAAATAAATGAGACACCATCATCAGCCACAACAATCTTAAAACTTCTTAAAAAAAACAGACCATATACATCTTCATAATCACCAAAGTTTGACTTGGTTTGTTTAGCAAAAGCTAAATAAAACGATAAGCTGCTGCTTGGCCACCATTCGCGATGAGCTCGCGTGAGCTATCACAGCACTTCCTTTTTTAAAATTCTTTTATCTACTCTGTTAATGGAAACCTGTGTCGAGATGCAAGGAAACAGTTAAAGCCCACAGGCCAAGAAAGGAAGAGCTGATGAAGATGAGAAACAGAACGGAAAGAGAAGTAAGATGAGAAAGGGGAGGCAGTGAAACTGAAATGAAGCTTGATAAAAGCAGAGAGGAGACTGTAGAGATAAGAGTTTAAGTGACAGGAGGGCCGATACTGGACTCTGGTTGTCTGTGCGCCGATCGAGAGGTTAGAATCTATTGATTTGCTATTTTGTTGCTGTTGTCTTAAGACAAAAAAAATAAAAAAATTTAAAAAATACATTCATCTCAGACAGTCATGAACTATAGACTTGGCAGGAACTCAAGCCAGCAGCAGCAGCCCCCATTACCTGGTTATGCACACACCGTGGAAAGAATTACTTTTCTAAAAGTACATTTATTTATGTAATTCAGTACACGCATTTTATGCTTTATTATACTCAAACCAGAAGAAGCCGTGTTGCTATAAAGAAGACATCAAACTGTATTTGTCAAAGATGATATATGCTTACACAAAAATCAAATATAATTAAGACCATATTGCAGTAAAACTGGACTAAATCATCTCTGACAATGGAAAATTTGTCCATGTGGTTCTTCTGTCTCTACTACCAAAGCATTATTTTCTCCAGCTTTCACTGTGATCAACATGTCCAGATCATCATGCTGACAGGCTGCAGTGTAAGAAAGATTTCCCCCGGCGTTTGTTGTGCAGCAATTAAAGTTTAATCTCTACATTAGTCCTGTGCAGATCTACAGGGACCTACAGAAACCTTTACGTGATGCTTCTCTTATAGTTGTAATTGTATGGACAGCAAAAGGGGGGGAACGTTTTAGAAAACGTTACTTTATCTGGCATCCAGGGCTGGAAGAGACTAAGCCAAGATAGGCCTGAGAAAGACAAACACAACTTGCGTCCAACTACAAGTCAGCCTGTTCTGAGGATTTCTGCTCTGGGTTCTCAGACGTGAGGATCTGACATACTTTTCAGCGGTACGTAAAATGCAATCTGATAGTTCCCTGAGAATTGGAGCAAAACCTGCCAGCCAAAGCCACAAAATTACGTACTTGGCTGTTGTTATGACTGTGTGTTAAAAACAAAAAGGCAACCCTCTGCCTCTCAATCCGCTCTGCATCACTCAACTACTTTTCCCCCGCAGCTTTTATTTCATAATATCCAGCTGGAGATCTGATTATGAAATTAGAAATACCCTGCTGGGACTGAAAAACTGAGAAAAGGAAGGGTGAAAAAGTCAGCCACTGTCACTTTATTTCACCCAAATTCATCTATAATTTACCTTTTTTATTTTACTTTTCCCCTTTTTGTCAGCTGATCAACCATACTATAGCAAGCAGCTATACATTCCAGTTCAAACAATAAACACCAGCCAACGCTAAAATCCATTAGTAGTCAATACTTTGTAAGTTCAAATGAGAGAAAAAGATTTGCAACAAGACCCCCACATCCATTCCTCCCGCTCTCTCTGTGATCCATCTTGTCACTTTAATGGCAAACCAACAGCCAAGGAACACAACAGAAATTCATTTGGGGGTTGTAGCTCAGTCTGGTCTGCAGTATAGATTATTTTACCATTGAAAAAAAAAAAAAAAATCTTCTGGTGTTTCCATTATTTATACCTGTGCTCCAAACTGAGCACAAAGACACTGACAATGCTCTCAAGCTCTGTTAATTTCTCTTTGTACTGCATTGATGAGGGTCCATTACGTAGTGGAAGTAAATTACAACAACCCTCAGGTCTGGCAGAGGTTTATGAGCTGTCACTTACGCATCATAGGAAGCAGATGTGTTTAGATTCTGTGTTTGCTGTGAAGGACAGACATGTTATACTCTGATCTCTTAAACCTGACGCTCACGCTGCTTTTCCAATCAAAAGATAAATAGAATAAACTATGTTTCCTGTTCAAAGTGGCTGGCCAGACATTATAGCATCTCTCCACACCATTTTTGCTGTATATATCCACAGGTCCCGTGTAATCTTTTATAGCTATTGTGACAGACTTATCTTTTCTTCTTCAACCTCTCAAGCTCCTCTCCATACATATGCTTCAAGTCATGACCAAAATACACAAATTACTGAGAAGCTCTGTTCTACTATAATATTGTCTGGGGCAAATATTGCAAGGTCATGCCAGAATATCTGCTTGTGTGTCATGTATGCATGCAAGTTTCTCTCTGTGGCCTACTGTCTCACACCAGCTCTCACATTATTATGTTAAGACAGTTATGATGTGTTTATGGAGAGAGGAAAGCAAAAAAGCTAGAACACAAACACCAAAAGGTCAAGTTACAGCTACTTTATGGTCATTTCAGCCAATTTAATGTAGTTAGGGAAGTTATTAGTTAATTAAGTGCAGGACTGGAAGAACAGAGCAGCTCAACCATGAAACTGCTATTGGACAAGCTTGGATTATCTAATGTAAAAACTGCCATAAAGACATCTATAGGAAATTAAATTTAAAAAAAATTAAATCAAAGCATTTTGCTTTAAATGCACCATTTAAAGTAATTTCCTTCTGCACATCGATACGACTTCAGATGCTTCCGCTAGGTTTAGTTCTCTCCCTGGAACACAATCATCACCAAGTGCACATTTCCATTGAACTTGCCCAAGGAGAAAACATCGAGTTAAAGGGAGGGCTGGGTCAACCTGACCCACTGAGAATCACTTGTGATGACAGATGATGAGATAAGAGAGCTGGGTCTGTGGTTACGAACCAGAATGTAAACAGCCGTTTTCTACATCCTGAGACATTTCAGGTAGAACCTTTACTCCAAAGTACTGGAATTGTGGCATAGGTCATTAAGCCGTCATGCACTGGCACAGAGTATTGAGTCATCTCTCGCCAAATTTGGCTCTTTGCAACTCTGTCCTGTTCCTCAAAAGGAAATTTAAGTTTAAGGGCAGATGAGATCCAGCAATTAGTGCAGACGGGCATGTACAGCATGCTAGTGCCCTGCTAGAGGTCATTTTATAGAGCTCATCCTGTTCCCCTGTGAACAAAGGGGCAGAAACCGTCCCACTGATGGGTTTTGACCTTCTACAGCCCTGTCCAGCTCTCCTAGAGTAACTGCCTCTCTCCATGCTCTTGAGACCGTGCTAGGAGACACGGCAAACCTTCTGGCGATAAACCAAATATTGATGTGCCGTCCTGGGGGGCTGGAGTACCTGAGCGCCTCGCGACACTGACTTTAGCCAAATGCAAAACTAGTCAACACTCAGAACAGATGAGAAAGGAAAAAAATGATAGTGGCCGCCACCCGTAAAGGCATTCCTTTTTTGAGTGTTGTGTCTAGTGGACCTGCTGTTAATTTCATTAACACTAAAAAAACAGTTGAAACAGATTAACAACCCCCTCTGCTACTTAACTGACCAGATCGATATCCCAGATGTTTAATCGAGTTCATGCTATACATCGATTAAAAACTTTTCCTTTAATTTTTTTGAGGAGCGTAGGTTTGGGGGAGAAAAAAAAAAAGGCAAGATTACACAACTTAAGAAAAAAAAGGAAAAAAAAGTAATTTAACAGTTTCCTATTTGGCCAGTGAACAGAGCGAACTGGCAGGAGTGCCTGAACACACACGCTTGGTTTTTTTCCTCCATCATGTGTCTGTGAGGAGGGGAAGGAAGGTTGACAGCACTGGAAACTCTCAGTTCTGTTCAAGCTTGGACATGTACTTTTTTTTTTCAGCAAGTTTCCTGAAACAAAAGCACAGTGAGAGCATAAAAAGCCTTACCAGTCCACTCTACCACCTGCCAAGATCCTGCTGGGTCACTCTACATATGGTACACTACGGCATTCATCACCCTCTCAGCACGCCTCTTCAATCAGGCCAGTGGCTCCTTTCCAAATGCCTCTAGTTCACTTTCCCTTCGTTCCCACTTCACGTCAGTCTGCAAGGTACTTCACAACAAACCAAACACGACAGACAAAGCCTGCTGCTACTAAGGAACTTCCGTCTGTTCTTTTCCCTTTTTCCACTGCTCAAACACAAACTATTTGCAAGACTCAAAAGGGCATGTTGTACTATATGAAGCCTAATTCATTAAAACGTGGCTTGATATCAGGCCAGAAAGGTTATGAGCTGTTAGAAATGCAAATGTTGCACATATGCCACAGCAGGAGTCAGACTAAGTCACGCTACAATGTGCTTGTGGTCTGTATGCAGTTTTTATAAGATCACTGCGGTCAACCTTAAACATAGGTTATCCATGTCTGTCAGGAAAGGGCCTGACAGCCAACAGGGGCAAATCATGAGGTCTAACGTTCACAACAGAAATGGTGTGCAAGAATACGCGAGATACAGATGGCCTTTTTTCGCATAACTGACATATGACAAAGCGTGGGAGCTGTGATCACAGTGGCTTACTATTGCAAAACATGACAGTTAGACATAAACCACATGTACCCTATGTATGAAAGGGAAAAGGAAAAACATGGCAAGGGGGAATTCCTAATGTATGTGGTTTAAAAGTCTGGGGGCACCAATGGAGAAACTTCGTATGTACAAAGAAGTTACCTTGGCCACCAACGCAATTTCCTACGTTCATTTTTAATTTATTAATCGGTTTATCATGACAAATAACAAGCTTTAAAATGTTTCTAAAAATGCACACCGAGTTCAGATTTGCTCTGTCCCCTTCTCCTTGATGACAGTTTGCACTTGAACTTAGATGGATTCAAGTTTGCACAAAACCTAATAACCCATGTTATCCCAGCATGATCTGACCATGACCCAAAGCACTTGGCAGTCTGAGTGTAAGTGCTCCATAAAATTTCAACAAGTTTGTGGTCAGGCATCTGTGGAGGAAAGCCCATGACAATCAGCACTCCCTGGATCTATTTTTGTAGAGAGGGACTGATATTGCAACGGGCCAGTGACCCCAAACAACATGAAAATGCAAACCAGAGGCAGGAGCATGACTGATGACAGGAATACCGCTGCTCTTTGGAATACACTGACTGCACACTGGCCAAGTGTCCGACTCCAAATTAGGCAAAAAATATTGACAAATTAGAATATTATGACTAGCCTTTTTATCACAGGTTTAATACATAGTCTTTTTCTTTATCTCAGTCATCTCTTTACACACACCCTTCAGTTCATGGCACAAATCTCTTGGATTTGTTAGTAGACTACTTTTTTCCAGTCATCCACTAGAAATACTGGTTACTACTACAGGGTTTTTAACTCACTGAGCTCTATCTGTGATGAAGTAATATTTCTATCTTTCAGTGAATAAAATTAGCACATTCGTGTTGTATTTGTGTACTCGTTTTGGTTGGCTTTGAATACAACTGATCCAGCTGCTACACCCCTCTTAGAAACCTGTCTACTGTCTTCACGTTTCACTTAAATGGCCACTGCTAGTTTTGATGCACCTTTTTTCAAATTGCTATTCTAAACTAAGTGAATGTCAGAAACTAAATATGGCAATGCTTAAGTCTAAGATGAAGTTATTTATTATAATCAACAAAGGGCACAAGTTCATTTGTTGAACAAGGTACTCAAGTGTCTTCTGAAGTTATAAAAGCCAAGTAAACCTGACGCTTAACCCAAGTTAGCTAACATGCACAATGCCACAAATTTGCTTAAATTAAATTGCTGACAGAGAGTGCAGTCTTACATTTTCAACAATATATATGTGAAAACGTTTTTAAAGATTTCAAATGCCCCAAAGGACTGAAAGTTGCTCATCAGTAAAGCAAAAAGCTCCCTTGAGTCCTCCCACTCAGTTTAAATAATTGTCATTCCGTTAACATCGTTTTTCCTCTCCACATTAACTGCTCACCTCTGGCTGGATGGCTTTGAACACAGGAGCATCCATGAGTGTAATCTGGCCCTGAAGGAGAGCAAAAAGGCACCTGTTAGATATACTTTGGTCAAATTGAAATATTTACACAAACTAACGTTTATAACAATTCCTCTAAGTTCCATGTTGCCATAAAGAAGGTTTATGTAATAACAATTCAACAACTGAAATGCTGCTTTTCCTTGTTTTGTTTTTTTTGGGGGGTTTTTTGTTGTTTGTTTGTTTGTTTGTTTTTTTTTTTAAATTGGGCTTGTGATAATGCACAACCCATTACTCCTAAGACTCCTTTACTTACCTGACACCACCTTGAAAGACATTAATAGATCAGGGATTGATTAAATAAGACCAAGAGTGACCTCTTGTGGTGGAATGGGACACAACAAGACAAGCACACGTATTTAAAAAAGCTTGCAGACGTTCAAAAGATTATGTTCTTTTCATGTGAATATCCTGTAAGGTAAAGCTAGTTCAACAAAAATGTGACATTGTTCTGAGTTTCTTTTTTTACTAGTATTATTATTTTTCCAAACATGACACTGAAAAGTCACTGAAAATGGGGCAGAGGCAGCTGTGGGAACTGTCAGCAGCTGCTTGCCACTGCCAGACATCATCAATTATTACTGATGCAAACTCTGACCCCATTTCCCCCTCCATCACCCCATCTCCTCCCGTCTTAAGTCAGCACATCGGATTTTTGTTTATATGCACATTTATAACCCCTCATTTATGCAGGTTAATCAGAAAAGAAGAGACTGTAACAGAAATGCAGAAAATTCACTTACTGCATATTCCTCAGGAGTGACCTTCAGCACATCGAACACAACTGCGTCAAAACTCTTCTTCAGCTCTGAAGATGCCTTATCACTGAGAGATTCTGAGCTGCTGCTCTTCTGGAAGTCACACACACAGAAACACACACACAAACTGATGGCTGGGCTTCTGAGAATTGGATTACCAAATGAAAAAGAGTGGTGATGTTGGTAAGGTTTTGAGATTTGTAAAATGAACACCAAGAAAAACTAAACATAATATATTAAAATGTTATTATTTAATATGTCAGCTGACTAATACTAATATATAATAATTATACACAAAAACCTTTCATAGTTAAGGTATACACAGGCTGCATTTTAAAACACTGACGTGGATGAGGCCTTACCTCAGAGACTGTGGCAGCACTGGTGGAGATACTGGATTGGCCATTAGGGAGGTCCATCATTCCCACACCATCTAGCTCTAATGCAGGAGACCATTCATCATCCTCAGCTACAGCAAAGCCCGCCCGGCCCTCTGACAGAAAACATATACAAAATATATGACAGTGAGCAAATTGCGCACGATATCCTGATCATTAATAGCAGCATTCAAACTGCTCATCTTGCAAACAGAGCGCCATCTACTGGTTGAAATGGGTTGATTTAGACATACTGTCGCAACTACAAGGAAAAATGTACCCTCTCGAAATTAGTTATGATGTAAAGAAATGCTGGTTAAACGGTTGTGAGGTTCAGCTATTGGTCCAGAATGCCTGTGCACACCATATGGATGTGCACATTTATAGTCTGCCTTTACTATGCTTGAGGAAAGACGGGACAGAAGGAGCTTAAGGTGAGCATTAGGAAAAGATCTTCTGTGAAAGGGGCTTGTGGTCCGTGAGTGTAAACAGCTTACCCGACCAATTCACTGGCTTCCATCCAGGCCAGATTTGCTACCAAACATTTGTCTTTGCTGTTGTTTTATCTATACATTGTTCTAAAGTCTTAAAACCATTCTACACTTTTATTTTCAACCTACATATAACTATGTAAACGGGGGTGTGTGTACGCACACACAAAGGGGTTATTGAAGCGTTTAATAATAATAATAATATGAATTGTAAATATTAAACTGGAGACAATCTAATCCTCGTACATCACTGAGTGATATATTATTAATATTCTACCACAATTTAATATTCTTGTCTGCTCAGCACTGAAAACACCTTGGAGACCATTATTAGCCAAAAGCACACTGAGAAGCAATAATGAAAAATAAGGAGCTGCTCAGAATACCGAAGGCCAGCAGAGGCCTGTAGGTGTGTGAGCGCCTGACTGCCTACTTGTTTGTGTTTTCATCAAGTGGCCTGTTCCATTAACTTCCTTATACAGTTCTGCCGAGACAAGACAGATATACCAGCAAACGCCGGCATATCATGTAAACTATCCTCACATTGTTTGACAAAGTGCATAATCCTACAGGAAGCAATAGCTGGCCTGTGTTTACAAGTCTGACTCTGCTGTATATGAAAATACTACATCTGTAATTATCTTATTTCCTGGCCCAATACCGATGTGTGTGTTGCCCTTTTATTTAGGTTCAAATTAGACATTTATTAAAAAATATCACTTGTGAGGTTAAGCATCAATCTATGATTTCATAGACTTAATAAAATAAAAAATTTAGTTGATCCTCAGGCAACGTAAAAAGCTAGACATTCTTTAAAGAGAAAAAGAAAAAAAGCCACACTTACCAGATGGGTGTCAGATGTACATAATGCTTTAAGTGAAGTTGGGCTGTTGTTCAGTTTTCGTCTGTCTATCGAGTTTTATCGTTCTCCAAGGCTGGTCTCTGCTGTCTGTGTGTGAATGACAGGAACAAAAGAAATAAGGGGGAAAAGAACAAAAAGCACCATGATTGTTCTGAACACGAGTAAAAACCCACACAGTGGAAATCCTGTCTCCCTCTGTGCCTCCAGACTCTTTCCATAACTCACATCAGCCAGTAGGTGTCTCACTACGATAAGCAATAAAAGCTTGTGCTAGACTGGAGCATGGTATATCTCCTATTCCCTCCAGGTTATAACGATAGTCAGTATTTCTGTTTGTTACCTTTCCCAAACACTACATTAAGATTTCCATAATCCAAAATAAACTTCAAACTTTGGCTAACATAAGCCTATAAAGACATGACCCCAAATAAATAGATAAAATCAAATAAATAAGACAATGAATGTTTGTCTCACTTGGGTTTCATTTCCGCCCCCCCCTGCGTCACACAGCTCGTTAAATATAAAAAATAAATAAATACATACAAACATCTCTGTGCTAGGAAGACAGAAATAGCATCTGTGTACACAGCTTTAACAAGCTCTCACATCTGTCCTCGGTGTGTTATAGTCAAAGTGTTATCAACCCAGAGCAGTGTAAACAGCCTCTGCTAACAGCAGGTTTCTGCTCGTCTGCTGTCACTAACCATCCTAGCTAGTTTACATCTAGTTTTACAGCTTCTTCCGACATCCACACCTCCCGCTATTAACAATCACTTCTGACTCATTGCCTTACCCTATCCAATCCCAACTAGCTGGTGCTCTTGATTTAAATGTCCTTGTGTCTGACACACCTGACAGTCAGCTGAGCTGAAATGTGCTGTGTTTGGTGACATAACTCCACATAGGCGTGTCATAATGCTGGGCTTTCTGAGGTTCAAGCCCAGGGAATGTTTATAATGTCAGCTGGCAGAAAAACATGTGCGCACTAATAAGGCACAGGTGTGTGTGTGGGAACAAGACGGGCTGACGTCTCAACATCACAAGTATAAACCTTGCAGAGGGCACGACTGGAATAAGAAGAGGAAGAGTGACAGAAAGTAGAACTACTCGTGTTGGAGCTTGCAGGAGAGGACGTGTCGTTAAGCTAAATGTGACTCATAAGACTGCATAGCAAGTGGCGTTCAATCAGACTTTGCTCTGTGAATTGGCTGCCTCTCCCTCCTTGTATTCACTGAATTCCAGACTACCTTCTGACATTCACATACTGCAGTTCACACACAAAAGGCCCAGGCTGCCTCAGTACTGAAGGGCATAATGCGTATTAGCGAGTGTTTTTGTGTGTGTTGTCGTCATGCACGTGCCAGCGTATCTGTGCATGTGACGCCGCATTCCACATCGTGCACTGACCTTTTACATTCCTACCTCCAGTAGCCATGAAAACAGGTCTTCCATGACCTCCATTGGACATGTCCTAGGTCCTGCTTAAACTGCTCATCTCCTGTCCTTTTAATCCTCACCTCAACCTTATTTTATGGCAGCATTATATATTCAAGCTGGAAGCACTGATTAGTAAGAAATGCAAACATACACTAAGATAAATAAATCTGAGGGTTTGCGCTGCACGTGATAGTTTGTGGGAGTGGAGTGAGAGGCGAAAATTTATCAACTATTGATAATCAGATTATTTTAGTCATTCATTCGTTAGAAGCACGGAAAGTTCCACGTCTTAATCTGGTGAAAATATGATATATACATGGGGTGGCTGTAACTCTGTTACAGTACCCATACACCCATGGAACTGCTCTAGACGTAAGATGTTTTGTGTAAGACACCCATGACAAATCTGTAGCAGTGCATCCCAGATGGCCCAGCATCATGGAAACAGTAAACACCTGGCATTAAAATACCAGGTGTTTCCTGTATTTTAATGCAGAGAGTTGACTCACATGTGTGTCCTATTTACTTTTGTTGTATGTATGCTTACAATAAGAAGAAGAAAGGAAGGTGCAAACTATCATAGGAACAGGACTAAAAAGGCTTGTTTCAGACGATGGATAAACTGGGAGGGGGGGGGGGGCTCTCAAGGTAAGATTTAAATTTAAAAAAACAAAACAAAAGAAAGTTCTTTAGAACAATCATGTAAAGCTACTCCAGTGAAGTCCAAGAATAAAAAGAGGGAGTTGGAAATGAGCACAATGGGTATGTGCAGCACCAACACGGATCTGTGTGATCGAGGAAAGGTCACAAGCTGTGAGACTGAATAAAGGATCACACGAGACTTGTGTAGCATTTAGTGTTAACAGAAACACTGAGCCAACCCTGCCAGTCTCCGTCTAAAGAACTAAAGGCCTTTTCTTTGACACCCAACAGTCCTGCAGGCCGAGCATCGGTTCTCAATCTGTTCTCACTATTAAACATTAAGAGTGTGTGTGTGTGTGTGTGTGTGTGTGTGTGTGTGTCTCTCTCTCTCTCTCTCTCTCTCTCTCTAAGGGAGGTCTTGTTAGCAAGCAAACAATAATGGAAGCATTTCCTCTGAAGCGCACAGTCATTTGAAAACAAGTCTTTTTCTCCTCCGCTGTGCTTTATGATAAAAACTGCAGTACCTCTTCTTCGTCACGGTCTACATGCTCAGTACAGACATGTGCTTTCTGCTCTGCCTAGCAGAAGTGGGGCTTGATGCGTTTGAAAAGCATGCTGCAGATGCGCCAAAGTCAGAGAGCCAAAGTGGGTCAGTGTGTTGAGGTGTGCACTGAGGGATGTGACAGCCCATTAAGCTGTGCTGCTGTCCCCTTCTCTTTAGTACACAGTACGCATACATACCATTCACACCGTCCAAGTTTAAACTCTAAGGCAAATTATCCCTCCACCATTCAAATACATCATAGGCCTCTTTACCATATGAAAAGAAAACGTTCCGAGTGGGTAAATCTGTAGATGAAACACTTCACTGCACATTCAAATTTTAAGATATAAAAACGCAAAACCTACTACCTGTATTTTTTTAAATCACTCAAATAATCTAAACATTAAAAAGAAGCTATAAAAAGCAGCATAGAATAGAATAATCCTTTAATTGTCCCACAAGGGGAAATTTGGTCCACAAGGGGAAATTTGGTATAATATGGTATTTACAACAGGGCAAATTATACAAACCGCAAATGTGCTTTGACAAATAACAGAGTAACATAACAATTACTCAAAATTACAGCAGCACTTAGCAATGGAAGTTATATAAATTATTACATGAAATGGCTCTATATGGCTGAGTTCTTGCTGCAGTATAGTTTTAAAATATTATAATATCTTGTCAGCCTCACTCCTCAAAAACCCATATCCTCATAAACTCCTATTGCAGACCATCTGCAGCCAAGCACACACATCAAGTGCAAACCATGTCTTCCGTCTTGCCTCCAGACTTCTTACATGACTGTATTTCCTGTTCACTACTGCTTTACAGAAACAGAGAAAGTGTTACTTTTAATTTTGCTCATGCATTATGTGAAGCTTGCTAATCACCAGAGAGCTTGTTGGTAGCATTTCATTTAATGCGATGCCATGGAAGACTGAGTCAAGGTTGTTCTCGCTTTCTCTGGGCTCTCATCAAGCCTCCTGGGGGACAGCAGGACAGTATTGATCTGGAGCTAAGAGAAGCCCGGACGATCTCTATCTCTCTCTCTCACTCACACACACTCTCGCACACGCACTACAGCAGCGTGTCGCCATGGATCGATATACACCGCTTTCACTCAGCAGGTTGGCTGTATAAGCAGAAGTTGGTGACAATGCCTGCGGAGGGACAATAATGTCTGTGTGTGTTGTCGAGGGAACACGACTAACAGCCCCTTCACATGATCACTTAACATGCCAGTGATGTTCAGCCCTTCATGAAGATCAATAACGGGACAGTGGTAACTCCATGGCAGTTTAGACCAGCAGAAGTGGATAAGGGAAAACATTTATAGGAACAGGAGGACCGAAACCAAAAACTGTCATAACACTACAATTACACTTTGATGTGAACATAAAAGCAATGTTCTCCATCCACTCAAATTTTAAACACCAGTCAGGGGTGCAGGGACTTTCTGCATTTTATGACACACACAGGCTATACTTTTGAGTAATTCCCCAGTTTGCTATTACAGCATGCGGTATTCCCGTTGCTTGGTCGATACAGTTTTTATTAAGTTCGCACAAGAGGAAGTGAGAAGATAATTCTATACCCCAAATACAGCCACTCTTCCAGACAAGACGCTCGCATGCATCTGATTTATTAGAGCAACATAATGCAAACAAAAAGAAAATAAGTTTAATGGTGCCGTATCATCTAACAAAAGCACGTTGGTTTTTTTTGTTTTTTCCTTCTTCAGAAAATCAATAGGCAACGAACCCAGTGACACCACAGATTTTCCAGACAGTGAATTAACAGCAATGTACCATCTACCATAGTGGGCCATCATTTTATGAGCATCTGGGTCTATTTGTGACGGGAAATTACTGTGATGTAGTGGAAAGATAGACAGCCGAGGACAAAGAGGGTCTTAAAAAAGTAGGACATGAAGCACAAAAAAAGTGATGATCAATTTTACACTTGTAAATACACCTGCACTTTTTCAAAACATTTAACTTTTAACCTTATTTGAGTCAAATCCCCCCCTCCAATCAGTGTGCAGTGTCTGAATTTTAAAAAAGGCCAATATAGCTTCATCAGCAACAACACAAAATGTGTATTTTATATCAGGTGTAAAAAAATAAATAAATTTTAAAAAAAAAAGGTATTCAAGACAACTGTCCATATAAAATTATTTCTGAATTATAATGAATATATCACAATATAAAGTAATTACCTTCTGTACGTACAATTAAATGCCTTCAACAAGTCTTTCAGTTGTCTAAACATTTTTATGGCTGTCAGCTGATTGTGATTCTGATCAGCTGATCGTGTTTTTTGTTTTGGGAGGGAGGGGGCGTACATGTCACACATCTAAACCCAATTCTAAGCCAGTGTTGATGTTTTTCTAAAAATAAATAAATAAATAATGTTTTAGATAAACTTTCCTCCCTTGCTCTTTCACCCCTGCTTGCTTGAT